AAACCTTGAAAGCTTGCGAGATCAGGATGGTCTCACAAGGCTATTTGCCCGGTGGGCCAGTCCTAATTTCAGCCTGCGAGGGCCGGCCTTCCTTAAATCATACCAGCCCCAACACTTACTCTCCGGCCGAAGCACCTACCTGTGACAGTAAATAACTCAAGGAGCTCAAGAAGAAATACAATGTTACCTATAGAAATGATGCATGCAGTATGTATAGCCCTTCCTTGTCATGCACATCCTTGTGATGGTTGGCATATGGTGTAATTTTCTATTTCTTCAAACTGTATAATCCTTGCAACAAACTAAATTATAATAACACTAAAATGCTTTCTTTAAACCAAACTACGATACTCCTCTTATATTTGGTGAATTTATGTTTGAATATTTAGCAAAAATATGTTGCGCTGCATGATGGGGCTTTGCATCTAAAGGCTAACGTTTCCTGTCTTACGTTTGTTGTTGCCAGGTTGGGATGTTTCCCAATCTGGCAGTTTAGGATGGCCGTCTATGGGTAAAAATATTTTTCTTTAGATTTATAGCCTAAGAGATCAATAGACTATGGTTCAAATTGGGTAAGATTTCGTATATCCAGGAGGTTTATGAAACTTTTTTGGGATGGAAAACATCTGGCAACCCTGCTGATGTGGTAAGTGGGGACATAAGTGGGCCGAAAATCATTCCCAGTCTGAGCCTGTCCAGCACTAACAACTTAAAAAAAAAACACTGGACTTTAACCTCATCTTTCCAGGTAACCTTTGAGATTTTACAACTTTATAGTCTGCAATATAATTCATTAAACACCGCTGGCAGATAAAGATGCTGAAGACTCACAGTTAGGACAGCTAATATGTTCTGAACTTCACCCGTTCCAGATATAGTCATGGTGACTTAAAATTACATCCACAGATAGTTCTTAGTAAGAGTGTTGATTTGGACAACAAGTTAGTGGGCCGGGTTTCTAGAGCCCTGGAGGTGGGGAAGTTGGACAAAGAAAGCATTGATTGCCACAGTGCGATGTTCTTAGAAGATCCAGAGACAAGAATAGATGCCTTCAGGCACGAAAAGCGTCAGATATTTAATCATTTAAAGGATAGCAGAACACTGTACCTCTGTAAGGAGGGATCTGGAGATACTGAAGCCATCGAGTTGGCTGATTTTCAGGCTGCAGCGGGGCTTCTTGGCCAGACCTCTGACCAGTGCCAGGGAAGCAGCTGAAGCCGGGAAGCTGAAGGTGACGTTCCTCTGCACAAAGACACTAAAAGTTAGAAGAGGCTGCGTCTGTATCCACATTTTGAAAAAAAACAAAAAACCTTCTAATGCAAATGTATGCAGAGATAGTGGCTGCAGAGCGAGCTACCTGAAAGCGCAGGTCCTGGCTGGCATTGTACCAGCTGCGACAGACCAGGGAGGCTTCCTTTCTGTCTGAGGCAGGAAGAAAACTCAGGATGTAAACTATAATCTGCAGAGACAGATGGAGATGCAGGATTAAAGCAGTGGTATCATCATAGAGGGATGTGTTGTGGCCCAGCTTTGATGACACAAAGGCCACAGATGCACCATGGACTAATTTTACACAGACAAAAGAAAAAAGGTTTCCAGGTAAACTCCTTTAGTTTTCTCAGGTTATTTTCTCCTTAGGCAAGCAAACAGAAAAAGACAAACATTTCCTCCATGTTTGTCTTGCGCTGGTAAAAAAAAACAAAAAAACAACCTTAAGCCCACCCAGATGCATGCTGGTCCTACCATTGAAAGCCTATTTATAAAAATAATTCATCCAAATTAATCATAACTAACGAAAAACAAGGGAACATGACTAAATAACCAAAAAACATAATCTCATAACAGATATCAAACAATAAAGTAAAATAATTTAGCTAGATTATGCAAAACTTTGTTAATTATTAACAAAATATAATTGGCTCCTACAGATGGGATAGCTGGCCGTGCAGTTAACTCCAGATTATTACTTTAGCAATTTAAGTTGCAACATCTATTTAAAAGGAAAACTATTAGACACATAATATCCCTATAGTGAAACACGGAGGGGGCAGCGTCATACTGTGGGCATACGATTTTTCCAGAAAGGCAAATTATGTGTGATTTTATTGATTATAAAGTTACGTAATTATACAGATTAGAGCAAGTGATTCATTCCCAGCTCTGACTTTATTTATAATAACATTTTTTTCTGGCTTATGGTTCTGTTGTTACAGCCAAACCTTAGCTGTGGTCCAATCTGGGTGCTCCTTGAACCCTTTCCATCTGGGTCAGAACCCCAGCATGCTACTAAAATGACTGCTTTGTTTGTCTGATAACCAGCAGCACCTTGAAGAGAAACATGCGCTAACCTCCAGAGGCAGATCAGGTGTTTCTGGAAGATCATCGCTGTACTCCATCTCCTGATGTCAGAAAGCTCTCCAGATCATCTCAGCTGATTTCCAACTTCCGTTAAAATCCTCCAACTTTAGCTCTGTAGCTCCAGAGAGGGAGAGAGAGCAGGATACGCGGCGGGTTGTCTCATTTTCATTAATAAAACAAGTAGTCTTCCGGTCAATAGGCGCTAATAAACAGCTTTATTTTCTGACGGCACTATAACAGCTAAAAGGAGAGGTAGCCTCTTCCAGCTGACAGCTCGACCTCAGATTGGTCAGCTGATCACAGGGAAGCGGCTTCAGCGGCTCTCTTTTGATTGGTGGCTGTTGTTAGGCAACCGCTGACGCGATGACACACTAAGGCAAGCCGATTTGTTAAAAAATAATAGATAAACAAAGTTGTCAACTAACAAATGACGTAATGATTGAATGTAAAGCTAATTATTTAGATCAAGTGGAATATAGTCTGAACAGTTACATAGTTTTAGAAACAAATCAATTTGCAGGATAAATCATGTTTTCGTCTCTGAACTTCTGAAAAGTCAATCAAATTACCTAAATTTAAGATTTAAAAAATGTCCCACTGGTTTGTGACGTCACGGTGCGGTATAGGCTGTTGAGCAAGTCACAGTGCTCAATCTGGTGTTTGTCACAACATGCACTATTATCCTAGTCATCTTGAAAACATTCTTCAAAATGCTGGCTACATATTAGGTGGTTTTTCTCTGGCCAGAAGTTTGATGGCAAATCTTCCCTCTTCAAGTTGGCAATCCAAAGATGAACCTGTCCGTGGAGGATCATGAAAGGTGAAATAACTAATTTTCTTTTCACTTTTACCCAAAGTATTACAACATCCAACTGCCATGAACCAGGGCATTGTCAGTTTAACTATTGTTCTCGCAAATTTCAATGGTGAAGTCCTCTCGAAATCTTAATTGTTGTTGATTGCAGATGTGTCTAGTTGTTCCCATTGATTTTGCTTGTACAGCTGGCAGAATGGCTCTAGGCTTCCCCCACTGTGATGTCACTGCCGGAAGATGTCAGGACTGAGGTGTAATTATATTTGGGCAAAAATGACGGATTAACGCTAAATTCATCAAATCACCGCAAACGTATTAGTTTTAGGTATAGATAATGATCCATTGATCATTCCTTGCTGACCAGACTTGTCCTTTAAATAAAATGTTCAACAGGCATGTGATGGAGTAATTAAGAAACTATAGTTAAACCATTTTTTATTTGTTTTAGAATATCCAGTTAAAATCAGAAGCTAAAGAGTTTAAAGACCATGAGTGTCAACAGTTAGGGAACAGATTAGTCATATTATTCTTTCAGTATTTAGCCTCCCCTAAGCTCACATGTCAAGGCCGAAAGCTTGTGTTCCTATGTTATTTACAAGAAAACTTATATTTGCATAAAGACCTGTTACTTGCCTCACCATTATACATTAAGAAAAAGAAAATAAGTACATTACTCTCTTCATTTTATTAATAAAAAGCATTGCCAGCAGTGGAAGAGAAAAGAAAATATACAAAAAAAAGCTAAAAAACCAACTCTGAGATTCACTAGATGAAGAAAACATTTGTATTTATCCTTGTTTAATATGGAAGTTAGGTCCCCCCTGAGGGCAGCTGTGCCTTGGAACTTCCCTACCGGTTCTTTACCTGGGAGCAAGTATTTTACTCCTCTTAACTCAAACTGGGTAAAACTATATAAAAAAGGACTATAAAACAGGAGTAAAAAAGTAACAGCATTTATTCCAGGTCAGGTCGTTACAGGACAGAGAAATTGCTTAGGGTTGGCACAGCTGTGGGCTCAAAGACGTCAGCGAGCGTCCGGCAAAGATTGAGCCCCGAACAAAGTCATCTCCTCCTTCCTATACCCCATGAGTCCTTGTGTTGCATCAGGTGGATACTTAGCTGTCCGTATCAGAAACTGACACGCCATCCATGCCTTGAAATTCATGCATCTTGCCTCTTTACCCCAGGATTACACATAGATCTCCTTTATCAGTCCGGCTCCAAGATGTGCCCATATCCTGTGTATTTGTAAAGACACGAAGGCTGTCCTGATTAGATGGCCTCCGTACACACAGTGACATCCACCATGTGAAGGAAGGCCTTCTACTCTGTCTAATCTGGCTAACAAACAATGCACATGATGTATAAAGAATAAACCTAACATCCTACAGGATTGATTTGCAACTCAAGTCAAGAAAAACATGGCTAAAATGTTCCCTAAGCTCTCTTTGAAGGAAGAGGAGAACAAACACTGAGTATTCACAGAATGTTTTATTGTATTTATAAAGAAAACACACATAATGAGAAATCTACAGTATTAGGATAGGGAAATACATTTAAACATAATCATCATCAACTGTTTGATATGTTTATTGCTATTTACATCACTGTCAGTATAGTCTGTTTATGTTCAGAGCAATATGTAATAATATTTACACATAATACACAACTCTCACATCACAAAAAAATAAACATATATATTAACAAATATTTAGACAACAGCATCGTCAAAATGCTTTAATATCTCATATCGTTTATAAAGTCGGGAATATAAACACGTTTTTTTTTTCTACATTTCAGTGTAAAACAAATTTATATAAAATTAAAATATTCAAAGTAAAAATGTAAATAAAATCCTTAGAACCTAGTGAGTCAGATATTTGATAATGACCATTTTATGATATTTACAGTTTACTTTACAGCATGTTGATATTATTGGTATTATCATAGTTCTAATCTAAAATAAGTAGATGAGATACAGCAGTGTCTCACATTGACTAAACCAGATTTCATCTGAGTGAACGCTCAGCAGGGAGATCTGATATATGTTCAGTCAGTAAAAAAATAAGGCAAGATGTTCTTTAAGAGATCTCAATGGAACCTGTAAACTTTTAGGAAACAACAACAAAACAATGATCTTCTGCAGAAAGACAAGATCCTTATTTCTGTAAAAAGAGGAGGATTCGACTTAAAGATACTAACCTGTAAGAAGTTAACAATCGACAAGGAAATCTGAATCATTTATTTCCCTGCATCACCTGTTGGGGGTCACTAACCTTTTTTCTCCTCTGCACCTGTTAAGGTAGGACTGCAGAAACATCTGAAACCTTCAGTTTTTCCAGAACCACTTTTATATCCTCTTCTCCTTCCTGTCCTCCATTTCATCCCACTCATCCTCACTACCATCCTTTTTGACTGCGTCACTGTGGAACTCTGCAGGAGGAAGATCTTCTGGGTTGCAACTATAAGGAGTTGAGTGAAGTGTCATAGAGCTAGCAGAGATGGATGTCGGTGTGTCCACCTCCCGTTCAGGTCCAGAGCCAAGAGCAGCAGATGGAGGACGTAAAGAGGCGGACAAAGATTGCTGGAAGAAGAGGCAAAGAGAAAGATCTGAGTGGAGGCCTTAATCAGTAGCTGAAGGTGATCAGCTAAAAAGGTAGCTACCATTAGATGCTAAAGGAGAAGTCCGTCATATTCAGAATTCAAACTTCTGAAAGTTCTTTAAATATTAAATTATTACATACTGTTCTATAAATGATACATGTTTTTAATTAAGAGTAATTTTCATCTGAATGTGCTTTGTTGGAGGCACCCATGTTTGTCAAAGAACACTAACGCCTACTACCCGTTTGTGACATCACGGTGCGGTATCGGCTGGTGATCAAGTCCCAGTTCTCTACCTGGTGTTTGTCACAACGCACTATTATCCAAGTCATCTTGAAAACATTCCTCTTCAAAATGTTTGCTACTTATTATGTATTTTTCTCTGGCCAGAAGTTTGATGGCAAATCCTCCCTCTTCAAGTTGGCAATCCAACAACAAGCCCGTGGTGGATCATGAATGGGAAAGATGAAATAACAAATTTTTTTGTTCTCTTCTACCCGATGTATTACAACATTGAACTGCAGATAATGATCCATTCCTTGCTGACCTGTCTTCTCCTTTAAGTAAAATGTTCAACAGGCCTTGGATGGAGTAATTAAGAGAATAATTTTTTTAAAGATGTGTTTTAGCATTCTTTAGAGCAGGGGTCTTCCACATTTGCCAGGCCAAGGACCCCCAAACTGATGGCGAGATGAAGCGGGGACGCCCTAATCATATGTATTGTTTGGAATTGTGTTATATCAAATTGGTCCTATAGTCACTATTACAGATGTAGTCATTTAACGAAAAATTCATTATACCCTGGGATTATTAAAGTATTTCTGATTCGGATTCTGATTCCTGGTTGATGTTACGGGTGTTTTGAATGAAACGGTGCCCAGCTTGAAAGAGCTCCTGTGTGTCGCTGAATGTGTGCATTGATGACTGAAAGACATCTTCTGCCTCCATTTATCTGTTTACTTCAATGTGTTGAATTCAAGTTAATGTTTATTGAAAGACATTTCAATTAGTGGAAAAAATTGCAGGGGGGGATATGATAGTATAAAAGTCTAATCAACCAAAACTTTTGCGACCCCCATGCAGTAAATGAGTGGTCCCCCTAGGGGTCGCGGACCCCCTGTTGAAGACCTCCGCTTTAGAGAATAAGAATAGAAATAAGTAATTTTATATAATTAGCTACATTATTTATGGAAACCCGGATCTGTTCGCTCATGCGCAGGACAGATCATGCTTCCAGGATCAGGTAGTGACAGCTTCACCTGTAGTCATCATAGCTGCTATTACAGAAAGGCCTTCAGGTGAAAATATGACCAAATCATAACGTATTGTGTTAAACATTTGTCATAACGCATACTCACAAAACAACCTATATGACATTGCACAAAGTCTGTCTTGTTCCAGCAGCAAACTGTAATGAATTGTATTGGGTTGTCATTGCACTGAATTAAGCGGTAGGGTTAGGCTTGGATAACATCTGGGAACATTTGTCGTAAGTTCTTGGGTTTTGGTCAGAATGGTTTTCCTCCTGGAAGGTGAACCTCCACCCCAGCCTCCACCAGCTTTGATCTGAACTGCTCCATTTAACTTCCGGCTGTAAATAATGCAGTTATGCTGTTTTGTATTAAATTCCTTTAAACTAGGCTGATGCTTGTTGTTGGAACAAGAGACTTTAGGTGAAACTATAGAGTAGAAGGTGCGGTCAGAGACTGAAATTCTGCTGACTCCATAGCAGTGTTGACAGATGTTTTACATATGCATGGCAAGCATTTACCTGTAGAGATATACTGGATTTGCTGGTCTTCTCTTTGACTTTAGCCAGAGCCCCTTTTAGTCCTGATGATCTCTCCGTCATCTCAAGAGCTGCTCGGAGCAGTTTGGGAGTCTCCGGCCTGACTGGAGCTGCTGGTACCTGAACCACTTCCTTAGGCTCTTCTTTGGGTTCAGGCTTTTTCCCTTTATTGAGCATCTTCCTGGAATTAAAAAGACTCAGTAATTAGAGAACTACATTGTGCAAAGGAAAAGCCAACAGTAGAAGAAGTTCCTAAGTGGTTGGTTTATTTTTATGTTTAACCTGGCTTTCTTGCGCAGCAGTTTCTTCGACTCAGGGTAGTGGACCAGGATCTCATTCAGGTCTTTCTTGTCGAGGATGAAAAGGTTTGCGAATCCATGAGAAATCACGTTGGCTGTGCGCCTGTTGACTCCACCCACTGCAAGTAAACTGTAAACCAGGCAATCATTTGAAGAAAAAAACCTTTACCTGCAGCAGCTCATCTTAAAACTGCTGTCACAATGATTCCCTTCTGTCCATCTACAAAGCTGTACAGAGTAACAAGATGCAAGGGTCCAAACATGGGAAATGAAGCTGATTAAGACAACAGACACTAAAAGTCTAAAGGGATTGTAGTTCATGGCCTCTTAAAGTTAGCTGAATAATGGGCATCTGTTGGTCTGTTGGTCAGAAACACCTATTTTTACAGTAGGAGCTCAACCTCACCATATAGAATTGGATTAAGGCAGCAGAGAATGTCGTCAGCTTTTTTTTTTTACTGTAACTAGAAAGATCTGGTTTGATTGAACTGGTTCAGCCACTGATTTTCTTATTTTAATAAGCCTGGTGAACAGCTCTCCATTACCTTATCTCTCCAAAGACGGATCCTGCTCTGAGGGTGGCAAACACTGTCCTCTCATCAGGTCCTCCAACAACCTGCACCTCCCCTGCTTTTATGATGTACATCTCTCGACCCACCTCGCCCTGGGGGCCAGAAAGCAAACAAACTGTCAAAAACAAAACTTCCATAGGAAAGCTTGCAGAACAGAGATTTTCCAAAACAACTGACCTTCTTGCAGACATAATCTCCAGGCAGGTAGACAACAGATCGCAGGCTTTTCAGCATGTCAAAAATCATTTGTCTATCACAACCCTGTGATGCAGAAAATAAATCTTTGGGTTATCATACCATGGAGATGAATATGGAGATTCAGGTGCCAGGAATTTTATTTGACATGATAAGTTTTAGACAGCAGATCTTCATTATCCATGCAACATTTTCAAGATGATTTTACAGATTCATTACCTGGAAGAGAGGGACTTTGCTCACAATGGAGTAGTTGACATCTACGGCGATATCCAGGCGCATTTTATCCGGCAGCTGGGTCAGAAGCTCCTGTTCATCTGGAGAGGAAATATAAGAAGGTAAGGCATGACCCACCGCTCATATTCCTTAACATCAAAGCTAACATGTGATGTCCTTACCCAGCATCCCTTGTGACTGCCAAGTGTAATTATACCAGGTTTTGACACGGTTCTGGACTTCTTTTGGTATGCGATAAGACGTCATGTATTTAATGGTATTGTCCATACAGGTGCGGTAGTAGGTCTGAGCCGCTGTGGCCGCGCCAACAACGTCCCGCATCTGAGACACAAGCAAGGCTGGAGGGGCTTGTTTGACATTTAGAGTAATTTTAACTAAAGCTGCTGACCTACCTGACCAATCATGATGGAGAAGACAAAGACTCCAACAAAATAGTTAATGAGCTGGAAGACGATCTCAAACAGCGAGGAGGGATCTGGCAGGCCTCCGATGGTGATCAGAGTTTTCACAGCAAAGTAGTAACATCGAATATAACTGAGGGAAGAAGAAAACTGTTAGAAAGGGAAACATAACACTTAAAATTAACATATATTTTATTGCAGAAATAGAAAAAAAAAGATGTGGATAACATCTAAAGCAAACCCATACTATGAAATGATTAATTGACAGATCATCTACTGTAGTCACCCAGTTACCTGTTCATCCACACCTGTTTGGGTTCTGGTTTTCTTTTGTGTTTACACCACTCCCTTGTAATTCAAGTGTTTTCTTTTCTAAAATGGTGTTTTCATATGCGTTAATCCCCTTTGTTGAGTTTCTCAGTTTTTTCTTCTTCTTTTTGTTCTTTTTCTGGGTTTATTTTCTTTAATCTCTGTTAGTATTTCTTTGTGTTTAATTTCAGACCCATGAGTGCTAATTAGTCTCCTTACATCACCTCTACCTCAGCTACCTCATCATTCTCTGTTCTGCCCTCAGTATTGAGCTTAGTGGTCATCATTGTTCTTTGCTGGATCCTTCTGTTATACTGTCTGTTTCTCTCATATAGTTCCAGTTCTCCTTTTGCATCTCCTGTAAGTTTCTTGATTACATTTAATTTCATAAGGTCACCACATCCCTGTCTGGATTTCGGTCCAACTCTTAACCCAGTCATCATGACATGGACCTGATGAGACAGACAGTCCCAACTTGGGCAGTGCTTTTTTCTAAATACAGTCTTTAGCAACACCTACAAATAGACTCACAAAAATATACATTATCTCTGCTGCCTTAATGCAACATCAGTGTCTTTAACTTATAGCGTCTAGTGTTCACATATATGATCTTTATGTAACAGAATAAAACCCCAACCACTGTGAGAGCCCGTCTCTATCCAACACATTATTTCATAATACACTTCTCCCGATTTTCTGTATGCGTTTGTTTTCACTGACAAAGAAAAGTGCTCCTTTAGATTGACCAAGAGAAACTAAATTTTAGTCTCATCTCTTCAAAACTCTTGGTTCCAGTGAAAGTCCCTAAAGTTGATTACTCCTATCACCAATAAAATCAACTAACATAAATCTATCAATCCAAGTTTTATATCACATTGGTAAGAAGTGTCAGGGATGATAATCGATTAATATGATGATTACTGCAGGATATCTCCCCTCTGAACAAATTTACTCTCCATTTTCAGGGAGTGATTATATAGCTGCAAATGAAATGGAAGCTTTTTACACATATTGACAGGACATTTCCTATATTTGGTTACTTCTTCAGGCAAAAAAATGATTTATCTATGAAACATCACTTCTGCAAACTTCCTCCAACCTGTTGCCGACACCATTGTACACCCACTGGGTGGAGCCCAATCCGATGTAGGAGGACGCCCAGTGGTAGAGACAGGCGTTGCAGTGAAGACAGTAGAGGAGATATGTAGTTGTTCGGATCACCCTTGAAGGCAAAATGTGATGCATGTACTTCATCAGCAGAAAGTTATTAATCCTGTGAACTTCTTTTATTGATCATTAGTCTATGCAAACAAACAAACAAAAAAACAAACTTTAAGGTAAATGAGAGAAGGTTACCCTGTAACTAACCTGTAAATGTAGGCTTTGGTCAAGATGGCCTCCAGACGCTCATTGAACTCAAAGAAGGAGTTTATCTGCAGAGGAGGGAATAGAAACAGTTGATCAGGACGATCAGATGGATCTCTGAACATTTATAGGGTGGTTGTGCTGATTATAATTCACTACACACTAGAACATGTCAATAAATAGCTTGTGCTTCAGAGTACTCACTTTCAGCAGGCGTGGTAGACGCAGCAGAGGGTTGATGCCAGTTTTAAAATAAAAAAGCTCCAGTGGAACAAGGCTGGCTACATCAAACTATAACATAAGTCTGCAGTCAGTATGCACTCAGGGAATAGTGCAGCTGAAGTTTTACTTTAACCCCAAATCTGTTTACTTACCTTGAAGCGCTTGGTTTTCATGTAATTCTTTCTCATTTCTTTCTTGTCACACTGCCATCATTAAAAAAAAAAAGATTCAGAAAAAATTATGATTTTATTTCCTGCAGCTTTTTTTATTTTTTATTTTTTGGTCACATCACAACTCTGGTAGCATGGCTGAGTTCCCTCACCACTATGTCTCCTCCACGAACAAACTGCAGGCGTGGCTGGAAAACTGTGATGTCCAAGATGTAAATAAGGTCACACAGGTAGTCGGTCACCAGCCAGTAGTAGATATTACCAGGAGTCTGATAGGGGAAGGCCCAGCGGACTGGGATGAGCCAAACGTTCCAGTTCCAGGCCAGAGAAACCAGGAACATCCAGAGCACATACATTAGGTCTGATGAGAAGAAGATGGATCCAAGGATTAAAATAGCAAACAATAACGAATCGATTCCTGGCAGTGACTCTCTAAACCATCAGCTGATGACAGCAGGATGTAAGCTGATACAATGGGGTAAACTCTATCAGTTTGCTTTAAAAAGCTTCAGTGCAGAACTAAAGGTGGCTGCAGGTACTGTGGGAGTCTCACTGGTAAAGGGGTCGATGCTGGCAGGGAATCGGAGGTGCAAACAGGCCTGGATCCATCGGGGAGTGGTTTTCACCTTGCTGGGGCCTCCAGACGTCTCCTCATCTTCCCTGCTCCCCATCCCTCCTCTTTCTTCCTCACCAACTGATGAATCTCCTCTGATACCTTCCTCTTCTTCATCCATGAGTGCAGCTTCAGGGGCGGGCTGAGGGGGAGCTGAGGGAGGACCGTAATGTCAAACATACATAATAACACAATATGAAATGTTTCCACTCTACCTAATGCTATTCTGTTGAACTGAAGGTTCCTTCTGGTGAATTGGTGAATTCCTGAATTGGTTTCCATAGCCAGTATGAAGCAGCTTTTACTGGTTCTAATATGGCAGTCAAGTTCATTAGGATTCATGTGCATGTAGAGGAGTTGAAATCTTGGGCAAAGTGTCAATTAGTTTTACCTGTACCGTTTTCCTGTAAATTGTGATGACTATACTCACAGGTAATGATGCTTTCTTCATCGGAGCTGTCTGGGTCAATAAGTTTCTCCTTGGCCTTCTCTGTTCTCTCTTTAAACATCCTGACCAGCTCCTGAAGTCGTTCATTGACCACTGCACTGGTCTGACTGGCAGCAGAGGCTGGACGCTCTCTTAACCTTAGGAGCAAAACAACAGCAGGTTCAAAGAGTGGATGGATGGATGGACGGAGGGAAGGACGGATGCATGTACGGATGGATGGACGCATGTACGGATGGATGGATGGTCTGACTGATGGATGGATGGATGGATGGATGGATGGATGGATGGATGGATGGATGGATGGATGGATGGATGGATGGATGGATGGATGGATGGATGGATGTCTTACATGTCGTCTGAGCTCTGCAGACTGGACTGACTGGGCCAGGCTCTGACTGGGATGCTTACTTCTTCATCATCATCTTCACTCTGAGAACGTGCTCGTTTGCTGTTTGGGAAAGAAAAGAAAATCAGTTTCTCTGGAAACAAAAATAGGTGAACCTTTCTGACCTCAGAGCTGTCCTTACAGGCCTGGTTAAGATGTGAGCAAAGCTTATCAATTTAATCTGTGACTTCCTGTTTATCCTAAAGAGTCGCAGCCTTCACTAAGCGCCATGAAGAGGAGGGAATGTGAATTAAATAAATTTCAAACTCTCAGGTGATAAATTACCTGTCTCTATGGCAACCATAACACACCATCTACATGCTAAGAGGCTTTATGCTTTTTGTTTTCAGTAATGAATACTCAAGCGGGCTCTTCTGTTAACAAAAGAACACATATATTTTTTAAAAGTATGTCATGTTCAGCACAGTAGAGGAGGAATGATGCTACAGGCCTCTTTCTCCTAAAAAGAGGCCTGTAGCATCTTTCTTCTCATTTGTTTTTATTAAAGTGCATCATGAACTTTTTGAAAACCTGGTGGGCTTTCAGGCAGAAAAATCCAAATGGATCATCTTTGGATCCAGAGCATCTGGAAACATCAAAAAGTGGTTCAGCAGATCTAAATCCACCTACTTCCATTGTCATCACAGCCCTCAGACCTTTAACCTGAATAACCTTTGGACTTAATTAAAGAGAAAACATTTAATAGGACACGAATAACATCACTGGCAAAAGGAGTTGTAATTTAATCAAACTGAAGTTTTTTCCCCCCAAAAAAAGATTTAAAATATCTTTTATTCAATAGATGAAAAATTCAGTGAGATTAAGGGTTACATTTCTAAAGGCTTTTAGTTAAAGATACATTCATTTTACTTGCTTTCTATATATTTACCTACAGTAACAAAAGCAATGTAATTAGACAATAAAAATGAATGAGCTAATCAAAAGTAGAATTGCATAAATAGCAGAGAAGGCTTACATCTTTGTCCAGATGCTCCTTCGGTTCCTCCCACTGCTATGGTAGAAGGTCAGATCAGGGGTCAGAGTGAGTATAATAGAGGGGATAACATCATCAGTTCAAGAAAGACCCAACAGAGGGGAAGGAACTAATCAGAACACTCCGACAAGCAGGAGACACAATGACGATACACAAAGAAGCTTGAGATGCATTTTTTTATTAATGTCTGCTGTGTTATGAAGCATACAGGAGGGAAAGCATAAAGCTGTACAAAGAAGAAGAGTAGCTTCACTCTTTAACAACAGAACAACACAAACACAGGGCAGGACTCAGGAGCCTTTCCAAACAGCACAATAATTCAGACGGTCTGTGTTCTGCATCTACACTTTTCCAATTGGTTGATTGTGCGCATTGTTTATTTTTGGCAAAATAAGGAAACCTACAGACTTGGGCTCAAATTGGATCAAGATAGTTTTAGTTTCAGCAGAACACAAACCATGGAGGGATCACAGAGAAAGAATACGGACGGTAAGGGGAAGTACAAGAACACAACAGCAAGAAACGTTTCAGTCCAAATGTCACATTTTAAAAGTCTTTAAACTTTAAGACAGTGATGTCAGTAAAAATAAAATTTGGTGGAATAATCTGAGATCCTTTTTTTTAAACATCTCTAAGGTTATTTTTCTCTTTCGGATGGAAACGCTTCACTTACATTCACTGGTTCTGCTTATCTGTGGTGGGTTCTGAGCTTGATGCTTAAATGCAATGTGATGGAAATCTATACTTTAACTGAAAACACATCCTGTCGTATCAAAGAATCACACAAGGAGGAGCTACCCATGCAGCTTCCTTACTCTTTATCTCCTTTACTGTCAGGGCAAAGCATGGAGAGGAGAGAGAAAGAAAATAAATAAAATGGTTTGTTTATTTTACTAGTGTCCTTTTTTCTCAGCACTGATTTATAATTTGTGAAAGTTGGATAATGCTAAAAGGAGCTCTAAGGAGGCAAAGTCAGAGTTTTAAAGATATTAAAATCAGCTTTACTCTGCTCTCTTGTATCAAATATTATTATGCAAGCCATAGTGTGTTTTGTCTTTGACTATGGTCAAATTAATTACTTATCCTGACTTAAAAAGTTCTGGAATCCATCTGTAGGCTTAACTCATTAGTTTCTACAGAGCAGCTGCTGCTCACCTCTGACGCCCTCCTGCCGGGGCCAAAGGGACAGTCAGAGTCGTCACTTTGGGGTCCTGAGGGGTGAGGATTTGGGACGTGTTGCTCTTCTCTTCTCCTCCTCCTGTTTTCTGGTGGTCGACGTCTTCTACGTTTACAGCCGGACGGAGGCCAGAGCTCTCTAGAGGGAGTCACAAGATACAGCGGTTGCTATGAATGTCACTGACACATGGAGGAGCTTCTTAGTCAATTGGAATAATTAAAATAATTCCATTCAAGAAGTTTGATTAAATTAAAAAAGCTAATGGACCCAGAGTAATATATTTATATTTAT